AAGAGAGAAAGAGGGAAGGAGAGAGAGAGTGAGAGAGGGGGAGAGAGGGCAAGAGAGGGCAAGAGAGTGTGAAAGAGAGCAAGAGAGCCGTTTTTATTTTTTATTCTGTTCCTGAAATGAATTTTTTATTTGCAAGCCCTGCTTCTCAAATTGAGGTACACGGTAGCAACATATTTTAGGTTATTATACTTACAAAGCCTAATCTTTTGTAAATCAATTTTTTAAAAAGTCAGACTGAATGATGTGACTTTACAGATGGCTAAATAGTACTTACTCTTCCTTTTTCTTAATGTTCTCTCTTGCCTGCTGAGCTTTGGTGAGAATAAACCACTGGAGGTTTGCTGGATCACAGAGTATTGGGATGTTAAAATGCCCAAGTTCGTGCAAACTTGGAGCATATCTGTCACTGGAATGAAACGAACATTAAAGGAAAAATCATTGACCCTCTCTACTCCCCACCAGAGAAAATATTTTATTAGTCTTTGAGAAACTAAAAAGGAATCATCAAGAAAATTCACTTTAAAAGAACAGCAACATTGACTTAAAGCTTTGTGCCCCCAAAGACACACTTCATCAGGATGATCACACCCTTCTGAGCTTTCTAACCTTCCTTATCTGTCAAATGGAGGTAGCAACCTACTTCATGGTGAGGTTGTGAGAGCTAAAGACAGAATTCATGGAAGCACCCAGTACAGTGCCTGGCAAACAGTGTATACAAAAACAAATGTTGGCTACAGATTATTAGTTTAATCCTTTAAAGTTTTCTATAGGATTGACTTTGCCCAGTAAATGGCAATATATTCAAAGAATGTTCTAGAGATTGAATCCTTCAATCCTCTCATGTTGGCTTTTCTAACGTGTAGAAGAGAGTTGCTAACACAAGTAGTGACATTCTTTTCCTTAGTTCCTAAGAACCATGCATTAAAATACAAAACAATTAAATGTCATTATATACACAGCCCACCTAAGGGAAGAAACAAAAATAATCCTTCTGTCTTCGATATTTACCTGTTAAGGATCATTTGTAAACCACGCAAACTTCGAGGGTGAAAAGGTATTCTATTTTTTAAAAGCCTATTATAGAACACATCAAGAAGAGAGTAATATTCTTCAAGTGTCAATACTGGCTGTAATTCTTCGATATAAACAACTTGTATGCCACCTAAAAGATAGCTTATTTGGTCTTCTAAAAGCAACAGCCTCCTCTGAAGATCAAAATAACTTGGCAATCTTTCAAAAAGCTACAATGTTAAAAAAAAGGAAAGAAATATTTGTTACTATAATAATATGATCTTAGGATTCCAATAAATGGTATTGAATTTTTTTTTTTTGAATCAGGGTCCTCACCCTGACACCCAGGCTGGAGCACAGTGGCACACTCAAGGCTCACTGCAGCCTTGACCTCAGCCTACCAAGTAGCTGGGACTACAGACACTACCACACCTGGCTAATTTTTTGATTTTTTTTTTTATAGGGATGAGATCCCACTATCTTGCCTAGGCTGGTCTTGAACTCCTGGGCTCAAGCAATCCTCCTACTTAGGTCTCTCAAAGTGCTGGGATTATAAGTATGAGTCAACATGCCTGGCTGGTATTGAAAAATTTTAACAAGAAAATTATTTTCATAGAAGGAAGTTCAAGTAAGAGGTAAGAAAGACTGAACATAATGCTGGAAATATTAATATTCAAAACAAACCACAGCAAATATTAGGGGTTTTTAGATAGAAATTGAAGAGATAAAAAAAGAAAATAAGAAATATGTTGTACATAAAAACAAGTGCAATAAGAACTAATATTTGAATATTCAGATAAGAATTGAAATCACTATAGAATGATTAAATGGGATAATAAAGTATACTTAGAAATAAAGTATATGTATTTCAACTCCAAGTCTATTCCTTCAAAATTTACTTTAAATCAACTAAATTCGGCTGGGTGTGGTGGCTCAGTCTATAATCCCAATACTTTGGGAGGTTGAGGCGAGAGGACTGCCTGAGCCCGGGGGTTCGAGACCAGTCTGGGCAACTTGATGAAACCTTGTCTCTACAATATATCATAAAAACTAGCTGGTCATGGTGGCGTGTGTCTGTAGTTCCAGTTACTTGGAAGGCTGAGGCAGAAGGATCACCTAAGCCCAGCAGATTGAGGGACTGCAGTGGCTGTGAGTGTGCCATTGCACTCCAGCCTGGGTGACAAAAGTGAGACTCCAACTCAAAAACAAACAAATAAATAAATAAAATTCACTTAAATGAAATAAACATGACTGAACACCTACCACGTACTTAAGCACTGAACTGGGCACTTTGAAGCATAGACTAAATGAGTCTGTCCCTCTTTGGCTGGGGCTTATGATCAGGGTGTAAGGAAACAAACAGAAATCCAAATTCAGAGTACTAAGTGCCACATCAGGGTAAATGGCTACAGAGAGGAAGATCAAGCAAATGTTTCTAAGGCAGTCTACTTTGACCATTCTTAAAAGGAAAGTAAGGTTTAGAAAATGTACATGGGCTGGGTTTGATGGCTCACTCCTGTAATCCCAACATTTTGGGAGCCTGAGGTGAAAGGATTGCTTGAGGCCAGGAGTTTGAGACCAGCCTGGGCAACTTAGTGAGACCTTTTGTCTACAAAACATAAAAAAATTAGTTAGGTGTGGTGGTGTGTGCCTGTGATCCTAGCTACTTAGGATCCTGAGGTGGGAGAACTATTTGAGCCCAAGAGTTAGAGGTTACAATGAGCTATGATCACGCCACTGCACTTCAAGCCTGGCAACAGAGCAAGACCATGCCTCAAAAAAAGAAGGTAGGTAAATGTGGGAATGTTTTGGGAAAGGAAAAAAGAGCACCTGCAAACAATGAAGCATGAAAAGGAACAGCATGTTCAAAAGCAAGGACTTTGGTACAGCTAGAGTGGGACTGCCTATGAATGAGTAGAAAGAGACAGTCTGAAGGGGGAGGTAGGGAGTAAGGTAGAAAAGGCCAATAGGACTTAGATTTTTCTATCAGAAGTTGGGGTCTCCACAACTTTAAGAGGAGCTGGAAGGCATCAAAAACCCTGCTACACTAAAATCAATAGCAACATAAAATTCTACAAATTATAATCTACTTCTAACATTTGTGAATAGTAATTTTATTCCCCGCTTTTCCAACTTTTCTCTCAATAGGTTATTTTAAAATTTTTATTTATTTTTAATTTTTTTCTTTTTCTTTTTGACTTGGAGTCTCACTCTGTTGTCCCGACTGGAGTGCAGTGGCCACTCCTGGCTACTGCAACCTCGACCTGCTGGGCTCCGGCGATCCTTCTGCCTCAGCTTTCCAGGTAGCTGGAACTACAGGCGCATGCTACCATGCCCGGCTAATTTTTTATTTATTGTAGAGATGAGGTCTCACCAAGTTGCCCAGGCGGGTCTCAAACCCGTGGGCTCAGGCAATCCATTCACCTCATCAATAGGTTATTAATGTATATATGGTAACTACATTTAATAAACTTTATTTTGAGATGACTGCAGATTCATATACTTTTCATCCAGTGTATAATATCACAATCAGGAAATTGACACACAGTACATTAATCTTACTCAGATTTCATCAGTTTTACTTACATGCATTTGTATGTGTGTATTTACTTTTATGCTACTTGATCACATGTGCAGATCTGTGTGACATCACCACAGTGAAGAGACAGGAGAGCTCCATTACAGGGATCCCTTTCACAGTCACTGACACCTCTGTTCCCCTGCTCTCCAAGCCCTAGCAACCACTAATCTGTTATCCCTATAATTTTATTATTCCAAAGATGCTATCTATATAAATAGAATCATTCAGTATGTAACTGACTTGTTTCACTCAGTGTAATCCCTTGAGATCCATCCAAGTTGCTGCATGTATCAGTAGTTCATCCCTTTTATTACTGAGTAGGATTCTATGGTATGGATGTACCCGTTTGTTTAACCATTCACACACTGAGGGACATTAGTTTTTCTGGCTACTATGAACATTCAGGTACAGGTTTTTGTGTGAACCTAATTTTTCATTTCTTCTGGTATAAATGCCCAAGAGGGCAACTGTTAGGTCATATGGTAAGGCCATGTTTAATTTTGTAAGAAACTGCCATACTCTGCTTCTAGAATGCCTACACCATTTTACATTTCTGTCAGCAATGCATGAGTGATCCAGTCTTTCTGCATCCTCACCAGCATTTGGTGGTGTCACTTTTTAAGTTTAGTCATTCTGATAGGTGTGCCGTGATATCTAATTGTAGTTTAAAGTTGCATTTCCCTAATGGCTAATGATGAATATGTTCTCGTGTGCTTGTATATCATCTGTACATCCTCTTTGGTGACATGTTTTTTCATGCCTCTTGCCCTTTTTTAGCTGAACTGATTTTTCTTTTTTGAGTTGGAGTCTCACTCTGTTGCCCAGACTGGAGTGCAGTGGCATGCTCCTGGCCGCTGCAGTCTCAACCTGCTGGGCTCCAGTGATCCTTCTGCCTCAGCCTTCCAAGCAGCCAGAACTACAGGTGTGTGCTACCACGCCTAGCTAATTTTTGATTTATTGTAGAGACGAGGTCTCACCAAGTTGCCCAGGTGGGTCTCAAACCCACGGGCTCAGGCAATTCACACGCCTTGGCCTCCCAAAGTGCTGGGATTATAGGCTGAGATTTTTGAGAGTTCTTTATAAAGTTTAGATACAAAGTCTGTCAGATATGTGGTTTGCAAATACTTTCTACCAAATATTTGGTCTGAATAGATACTTCACTAAAGAAGATATGTGGGCCAGGCATGGTGGGATGGCCATGACCATGCCACTGCACTCCAGACTGGGCGATAGAGTGAGACTCTAACTCAAATTAAAAAAAGAAGATACGTGGATGGCAAATAAGCACATGAAAAGATACTCACCATTATTTGTTATTAGAGAAATGCAAATTAAATCCATAATGTACCACACACCTATTAGAATGGCTAAGATTAAAAAGATGAACACAGTTAAGTGATGGCAGTTTTAAAAAAGTTAAAATACTTTGCCATGTGATTCAGCCATTCTCTTCTAGGTATTTATCCAAGATAAAGGAAATACATGCCCACATATTTGTACATAAATGCTCATAGCAGCTTTATCTGGACTAACCCCAAAGTGACACAATCTAATGTTCATCAACAGATGAATGGATAAACAAACTGTGGTATAATTATACAATAAATACTACAGAGCAAAAAAATTAATACACTGTCAGTATATGAAACAACATAGATGATTCTCAAAATATGAAAGTAAAAGAAACCAGACAAAAAAGTTTACATATTCAATTATTCCACTTATGTAAAACTCTAAAAAATACAAGCTAAACTACAGTGACAAAAAGCAGATCAGTGGTTGCTTGGGGAGGGGGTGATGGGGTGGAAGCGCTTTGTAAACTCTCACTCTCCTGCAATGGACGTGTTTGCTAACTTGACTGTGGCAATGGTTTCACGGGCATATATATATGTCAAAACTTACCAAATTATATACATTAAATATGTATAGTTTATTAAGTATCAGTTATATTGCAATAAATCTACTAAAAACAAGTAAAACAAAACAAGAGAATGCAGACTTTCAGGCTGTGCCTCATAGAGGATTGTAATATTATCAGATAAAAACTGCCTTAAAAAATAAGCTCTAGTCAGGCTCAGTGGCTCAGCCTGTAATCCCAGCACTTTGGGAGGTCAAGGTGAATGGATTGCCTGAGCTTGAGGGTTTGAGACCAGCCCGGGCAACTTGGCGAGACCTAATCTTTACAATAAATCAAAATTAGCCAGGTGTGGTAGTGTGCGCCTATAATTCCAGCTACTTGGAGTGAGGCAGAAGGATCGATGGAGCCCAGCAGGTTGACGCTGGGGTGGCAGTGAGTTTGCCACTACACTCTAGCCTGGACGACAGAAGGAGACTCCAACTCAAAAAAAAAAAAAAGTTCTTCCTTTTAAGTATTTTAACTACATGATATTAAGCATTGATCTGAAGACAGCTGAAGCTATGATTAAAATGTTGTTGTTGTTCACTGACATTATAGCATTATTTGAAACAGAATTACATGGATGACAAATGAAAGGGATGTTTAATTTTTAAGTTCTTTCTTACCTTCATCCAGTGATGATGTACATCCATTGTTCCTAGCATCACGTGACCTACTGCGCTCATGCCAGAACGATCTGTAAATATGATCGTACATCCTGAGGATAAAACACAAACCTTTTGGTCATGGTCTGGGGGCTCATTTTTTTAACATTGTGCAAATAATTTCTTAGAAGTTTAGGATAGGCTGGGCTCAGTGGCTCAGCCTGTAATCCCAGCACTCTGGGAGGCCGAGGTGAGTGGATTGCCTGAGCCCATGGGTTTGAGACCAGCCTGGGCAACCTGGCATGACCTCATCTCTACAATAAATAAGAAATTAGCCAGGTGTGGTAGCACGCGCCTGTAGTTCCAGCTATTTGGAAGGCTGAGGCAGGAGGATCGCTGGAGCCCAGCAGATTGATGCTGGGGTGGCCATGAGCATGACATGGCACTCCTGCCTGGGCCATAGAGTGAGATGCCAACTCGAGAAAAAAAAAATTTAGGGTATAAACTCGGGATTAGAGTCAGTAGAAGCTTAAAGGCTAATTTTATGTCACAACATTATTCAAAGGAACAGATTTTAAAATTCAGCTGTGATAAAGTCATTTAGTTTTCCACTACAATTTACAGATGTGTATAGCACTTAAGAGATACTCTGAAAGAAAGTGGAAAATGTTTACCTTTTGCTTTTTTAAGTGTTTCCAAATTCTGCTGTGCTAAGCGGCCTAAACTATGCAGCTGGCTACAGCGGTGGGCGATTCCCCAGCTCCTCTGCCACCTAGGTCAACAGAGCACACAGGCATTAACAAGCAGCACCCAGCGGGAGAACGAGTGCTCACCTCACCTACCGAGTCCTGAGAAAGCCAACAGTTTCTTTCTGAAGCAGGCACAACATATTTTAACTGACTTTATGTTTCCAAGCTAGCTGATTTTTAAAGAAGCACCCAAATGGAAAATGAACTGTTTACCAAAGGGTAAAAACATTACTACTATGTTCAGGTGTCCAAAGATTTAAAATAGGAAAATACACTAAGTTGTTTCTATTTCAAAATAAGAGGATGAAATGGGAAAAACTTTGAAAAATATATTTTTATCCTCTACATTGTACAATGATGATGGTTTTGTTTTAGATTTAATTTGCAGTTAGGAATTCCAGTTTTATCGGGTTCTTTTTTTTTTTTAGATTAGGGAAAATAGTTTATTTAGAAAGTAGATCAGATAAAAAGGGTGGAACCACCTCTCCAAGACTGGAGATGGGGTCAGATGTTTAAGGAACCTTTGGGTATCAGGTTCTTTTTATCTTATTCTAGAGAAAGTTATTTTGATGGCATCATATAATCTGTTCATATTAGAAACTAATATTAAACCTCAGGGACAAATGGAACCTGATATTGACAAGATGTCACAGAGGCACTGCTGTGTAAATATAAAGAGCGCTAGTCTTGAGCAGTATCAGAAAACCCACCTTTGAATTCTAATTCTATGCTGTACTAGCTCTGTGACAAGCTGCTTTTAGCCTTCCTAAGGGTTTTACTTTCTTTCTTCTTTTTTTGAGTTGGAGTCTCACTCTGCCACCCAGACTGGAGTGCAGTGGCCGCTCCCAGTCACCACAGCCTCGACCTGCTGGGCTCCAGCGATCCTTCTGGCTCAGCCTTCCAAGTAGCTGGAACTACAGGTGTGCACTACCATGCCCGGCTAGGGTTTTACTTTCATACATGCAAAGTGATGGCATTTTCTACTTCCCAGGTAATACATGTTAAATGAGATAATATATGTGAAGAAATTAGGCGTTCAAAACAGCTTCTTAAAAAATGACCAGGTATTGAGCCTCACACCTGTAATCCTAGCACTTTGGGAGGCCAAGGCGAGAGGATTGCTTGAGCCCAGGAGTTCGAGACCAGCCTAGGCAACATAGTGAGATCTTGTCTCTACAAAAAAAAAAAGAAAAGAAAAAATTAGCTTGGTGAGGCAGCACATACCTATAGTCCCAGTTACTTGGGAGGCTGAGGTGGAAGGATCACCTGACTTCAGGAGGTTGAGGTTGCAGTGAGCTGTGATCATGCCACTAGCCTGGGTGACTCCAACTCAAAAAGCCCAAAACCGCCCCCCCAAAAATCTTAGGCTCCCCTTTATCCTAATACTGATTCTGATGAATGTCATTTCTGATAAAAACTGGTTTAAAGTTTTTTTCTTTTAAACCACAATTGAAAAACTAAGATATAATTTCAAATAATTATTAATAACATTGATTTTTATTATTTGAAATAAAAAACTTTAAGTGATAAGTCTACTAAATACTGCTTCTATTAATAAATATTCTTTCACATAGGGTATTTAGAATGAAAAACAATGCTACTAGTTGTTGGGAGCCAGTCATGGAGGCCTGCCTGCTGACAAAGACCAGAGGGCTGAAGATACCAGGCCGCAAAGTGAGCCTAGGCAGCTGAAACCCTTGCTTCTTCATTTTTGTTACTAATGCAACCGGAAAAATTCTGTACAGTCTGGAGGCGAAAAATAAAACTCTAATTTACATGATTCATAGCCCCATGCATAGTAGCAAAAAGTATTTTACAATAAAAGGTCACCTTTATTTTTACTTATTTTTTTGTTTAATCATGTCCCTGACCTTCTAGTGCTGAGTTACATTGCTGCTTATTTTAATTTTGCAATTGAAAAATTCATTATGGGAACAAGGAGTGTTCTTTTGATGTCTACGGGAACTCCTCTGAACCCTCCCAGACATTGTGAGGATAGGCTTTAAAAACACCAGGTGCACACAGATTATGGCTTAGTAGTGTGTTTGTTTTGATTAAAGATTAACAAGAGTTTTTGAATTTTGAAAAAAATGTTATTTTTTCAGTTGTTATGATTTGTGTTATGATTAGCAAATTAAGATTTAATTATAATGTAATCATTATATTTATTTAAGTTTTTAGCATAAGAAAATAAGTATTGTTATATTAGGTTGTTTTCTGTTATATGGATTTAGAATTTTAGAATGTATTTGATTTAAATATATGTTATTCATTAACATTTGAATTGTAACAATCCTTATGGGAATGATTTATAGGTCTGTTTTTACATTTGAAGTAGGTTTTAAGGGGTAAAGCATTTTTAGATTAATTAGATTAAGTTTTGTAGATTAAGGGAATTAACATGTTTAGAATGAAGGAGTTTTTAAGGACTATTTTATGATTTATTTGCTGGAAAAATTGTGGGATTTGAAACCTGGTAATTGTCAGGGTGTACCTCAGGGGCTTCTGGCGATAACCAGTTAATGGAACGTCATGGATGATGAACAAGAACAGTGTGCTTTGAAGATTGCAAGACTTTTTGAAGAAATCGGTGACGTGGAGAAATGTGCGTCGGGGAGGCTTCCTGGAGGACGTCACACATGGACTGCTTGTTTTGTTTTTTGTCCCAGCTAAAGATTATCAATTAAGTTACTGATTACATTTAGCTATAGGAATTTTGTTTGTTTGTTTGCTTAAATGATATATAAGCTCACTGTTAATTGGTAATAAACAGCATCTGCCCTACTCACGACAGAGTCAGTTGTCCGAAGTGTTTCCTTCAACGCCGATTCCATTCCTCATTCAGGAGACCCTAAACCCAGCTGGAGCCGGACTCCAGCAACTAGTTACAAAGTCTCCATTTGCTTGAGTTTTGGCTAATGTTCCAGTAAGTGGAAAAGCCCTCATGCTCATGGTTCTCAAATATCATGATCTCAGAACTCCTTTACACTCTCAAAAATTGAGAACCCCACAGAATTCTTGTTTATCTTTTGATACCTACACCACAGTATAAACTAAAGCAGAAAAATTTCTCCACAGTATTGTAAAATGATGCTTTTTTAAATGTTTAAGACACTTTTTACTTTTCCTAATCCCAGCCAGCTTTCCCAGATCTTTTAAAATTTATACTACAAAAAGTTATTTTCAAGCACAGTAGTTTGTTTACTTTATAAACTTTAAAAAAATCTTATTTTGTTAGAAAATTTTATGCTACTAGACTACAGAATAGGAAGATCAAAGGTTGATCTAAAAACAATTGACGTGATGACAAAAGAACAGCCATAAGCACACACGCAAACATTCCACACACTGCAAGTTGAAAGGCTTTGCTTTTAAAATTTGAATCATTTTGCAAAATGATGATTTGACTAGAACAGAATATGTAAACATTATCTGTACTCTGTTAAGCACAGGAGAAAACGTGCTGTTATGGTACCCAAATAGTCATCTGGATCAATATACGAAAAAAAAGTCCTGATAATGAGGGTTGAAAACAATAAAATAGGCTACAGGAAAGGTAACAGAATGAGACCAGGTGACGATTTTCAAGGTTCTGGTAATGGGGAGTCCATGACTGATTGACCTGACCCCTCATTTTTCCTTCCATAATTATAGTTTTAAGATTTGTTAAATGTATTTTCATAATGAATTTCAGCATGTTTCTTTATATAACTGTTATTTACAAGTTTATAAAAACTTACTTTAAAGGTTGTGCTACATAACATAGAAACAAGAACACAACATCCATTTCCTCTCTCCCTTCCTCTCCTTAAACTCAAATATCAATCTTACATGACAGAATCATAATTATTTTTGATATATTATGTGTATATGTAATATATATATATTTTTACAAACTCATTATATAAAAAAGTTCAACTATCATGCCAAAAATGTCAGTGTTTAAACCTTACTTCAATATTTAAAACAAGAAATAAGTTTCCTTAAATAGATGAACATTTGACTATGTTCATAGAAAGATAAGTGACGAATATTTTATTGTCAAAATAGTTAAAGTTACAGATATTAAGCTACTGGAAAGCTTTACCAGCAGGTAATTCATGTTTCTTTTAATCTCTAAATTACACTCTCTTCTTTATTACCTGATATCTGAGAGTTGCAACTGATGAGATAGTTCATCTTTTAAACGATCTAGTTCTTTTCTAAGTGGCAAACTATTCTTCAGCTTTTTAACAGCACTTTTCCCATTGTTATCTAGCCAGGATCTAAAAGAAAAACAACAGAGATATATACTTTGCAATACTAGCTATAACTTAAACCTATCTCCTATTAAAAGACACATGCATTATCTTAAAGCAGCCCCAATGTTAAACTGAGTTTTCAGTCAAACCTGTACTTCTACCAAGTCTAGAGAAGTACCTAGTTTAGAAATACCTACTTCTAAAACAGGTTGCTTGGAGACCTGTCAGCACCTGTCAAATCATATGCTAGTTATGACAACTTCCTCTGCATATTAAACGAATTAAATTTTAGTGACATCAAGCCTGTCACTAGATTTCTAGAAATGGGATAATTAAAAAAAATTAATTCGCAAAAACATAGAACCAACTGTGCTGCCCATCAAAACTGGACTGGATAAAAAAAGTGTGGTATATCTACATGATGGAATATTACGCAGCCATAAAGAACAATAAAATTATGGACTTTATAGCAACTTGGATGGATTTAGAGTCTATGATACTCAGTGATTTATCACAGAAACAAAGAACTGAGTACCACATGCTCTTACTCATAAGCAGACCCTGAACATTTACCATAATACTATAAGAAGGGATTGGTAGTAGCTGGAAACTGCCGGGGGGTGGGGTGGGGGCACAACATCAATAAGTATACCTGATCTCAAACCAGACAAAGTGGGGACTAAAGGGAGGCCCAAATTTTACCTGCATGATGACCACTTGTATACCTAATCCTGAATTGTACCCCACATCTTTAAAATAAAAAACATTAACAATACTTCAAAACCTTTCACTTATGTTTATTACACCCTTCAGTAGGCTATATTAGATCTTTACTTATTTCAGTAATATACATGTGAGGGCAGAACTAATACTAATTATACAGCAAGTGAGCAAACAATGTTATAATAGTGCTAATAAGGTATAAAAGTCAAATTAAAAAGACATATCCGACAGGACTGATGACAGTTAGGAGGCAATGCATCCTGATGAAGGAACTCGAAAAGATTATTTTATGTATTCTAGTTGGGTAGACTCCAATTTCTCCCTTTAATTTTGGATATCAGTACCCTGAGCTCTCAATGCTTAGTCCCTCAACTCACATCTCATCTCTGTAACCAAGACCCTTCACTGGTCAGATCATACCTCTCTACACTCTAGCGTTTTTGCCACAAAATCTCCCCAAACATCTGTTTTTCACCACTCTGGTGCTCATTTGCCCTCCAATCCTGTCCACCCAACCAAATGCCCAGTTTCAGACTCACCTCAACTATATCAACTATATACTAGGCTCAGCAGAAAGATGTTCTCTAATCCTGTATTTCTTAGAATATTTACCCTGATAGTCTTAAAAGAAAAAATAAATATAAAAAAACACATTAGGGATCAGGAGGGGACAGTTCTTTTCTGAAAGCTGTCCCCTCAGCTTTCAGAAAAGAGCTGAAAGGCAGCCTGTGTGGCTCTCTAGAGAGCAGCACTACCCCCTGGGAATGTCTCTTACTTGCTGCTATGTTCATCATGACTCAGGGGTGCTTGTTATACTCAGGGTCTCTGACTCTCCAAAGGAAGTATGGAGAAATGAGTGACATGGGTGGAGTCTTGGGAGGCTCAAGAGCTGCTACAGGAGTGGGTGGGGTAGAATGAAAAGATGACTGGACTGAGGGGAACATTTCAGAGTCTAAAACATAGTGGTGAGATGGGCCCTAGGTATAGCTGTGTAGGAGAAAGTTCTAGGGGAGCAGGGAGAAAATAATCCAAAAAGTGAACATAGATATGTCACCCAGTTTCTCATCACCAGGACATCTGATGAACCCCTGTGGGGTCTGTTAGTGACAGTCACAAAATATAATGCTGCACAAGAGTTCATATGTTCACCTAAAAAATGATTGTCAAAGCTTTCAAATAAAAGGAAAAAAGTTCTTTAATAGTCATCTTAAAGGTTTTAGATGTTGTGATCAAAGCATTTAAAAATTATCAAGTTTAGAATAATGGAACTACAAAATCACGCATCTATTAAACATTTATCCTGAATGTTGATATTGCATTGTATTGGGATTACAAAATAAAGTCCCTGTCATAAAGGAAGACACACCTAATAAGGAATATAGAGATAAGCAGTCAGAATAGAATATAGGAGCTACTATGAGACCAGAGGAAGAAATAATTCTGCCTGGAAGGTTCTGTAGAACAGGTGATATGTGATCTGGAACCTGAGAGATACAGCAGCTCTTTCCAGGTAGGTAAGTTAGAGGGAAAGGCATGTCAATCATATTAGTGCATAAGGATCTATAAGAGGAACCAATATGCTTAGATTGTTATGCCTAGAGGGAGGGAAGAGAATGAGAAAAGACAATGGGGGATGGGGTCAGACCATGAAGGGTGTTGCACATTGGGAAAATAAACTGGAACCTTATCCTCTAGGTAAGTGTTCAACATTTTTTGATTCAGTAATTTTGCATAACAATTAACAATCATTCCTCCATTTCCTTTAAGAATATTGGTAAAAATGTTGTCACTTCTGTTTGTTGTGATAAATAAGTAAAAATATCTTAATTTATATCACTATTATTGGATATTGCATTACAATTTTCCAGTCTTTCTTCATTTAAGTAATACATGTTTTTCAGTTTACTTTAAATAAAGAAAAAGCATGATTTGTTAATAAATGAATTGTCAAATGACAAACAATGTTTGATCTGGGACCAAATGTCTTAAAACTAGATTGAAATATAACTCTTTTAAAAATTATTATTGACTGGCGTGGTGGCTCAAGCCTGTAATCCCAGCACTTTGGGAAGCTGAGGCAAGAGGACTGCCTGAGCCTGTGGGTTCAAGACTAGCCTGGGCAACATGGTGAGACCTTGTCTCTACAATAAATAAAAAAATAGCCGGGCATGGTAGTACGTGCCTGTAGTTCCGACTACTTGGAAGGCTGTGGTGGAAGGACTGCCTGAGCCCAGCAGGTCAATGCTGGAGTGGCCATTCTACTGCACTCCAGCCTGGGCAATGAAGTAAGACTCCAACCCCCCAAAAATATATATTATTATTTATTTATTTTAATTTTATTTTTTTTGAGTTGGAGTCTCACTCTGTCACCCAGACTGGAGTACAGTGGCCACTTTTGGCCACTGCAACCTCAATCTGCTGGGCTCTGGTGATCCTTCCACTTCAGCCTTCCAAGTAGCTGGAACTACAGGCATGTACTACCATGCCTGTATAATTTTTGACTTATTGTAGAGATGAGGTCTCACCAAGTTGCCCAGGTGGGTCTCGAACCTGCGGGCTCAGGCAATCCACTCACCTCAGCCTCCCAAAGCGCTGGGATTATAGGCTGTGCCACCGAGCCCGGCTTATTATTTATTTTTAGAGACAGGGTTTCACTCTGTCACCTAAGCTGCAGTGGTGTGATCCTAACTCACTGCAGCCTCAGACTCCTGGGCTCAAGTGATACTTCTGCTTCAGCCTACCGAGTAACTGGGAATGCAGATGCACACAACCACATCTGGCCAACTTCTTTATCTTTTGCAGAGACACTGTGTTGTCCAGACTGGTCTCAACTGCTCTCCCACCTCGACCTCCCAAAGTGCTGGGATTATAGGCAAGAGCCACCAGGCCTGGCCAAAATATAATCTGATGATTATACATTCATGACTTGACTTTTTGAATTATTGCATTTAGTATATAAAAATCAACTGGTCTAGTATAACAATTTTTGTGTTTTGTTTCTAAACATTCAGATAAAAATGAAGGTTCTAAGCATGGTTATTATGATATATAGATATAAAGATATTTGCTTCCTAGTTCTGACCAGTGGGAGGACTCCTAGTGATTGAGCACACAGAGCACTTAGATGTTGTTTTCTAAAAACCATTTCCTATTAGAAAGAACCAGAGCTTCTTGGCAAAATGGCTGAATCAAACTTTGGGGGCAGGAACCATCCAGATGAGCCTGGAACATCTTGGTCAATCAGAAAGTAAGGGAGTATTCAAGGTATGATAGGAACATAGGAGCCTGCTTGAAGAGATGACAAAAATTAAGAAATCAACATTTGGCAACCAGCAGAGTCATATGGGATTCAGGCAAGAATCATAAATAAATCTCAGAGCTAGGGAGTAAAAAATCTTATGAGTAAAAGGACATTTACATAGCCCTAAGCATCTCCCCAAAAGAAACTAAGCGAGGGGAAAAGAAGTAACTTTATTGCAAAAGAAACTGGGAGCTATCACATGAATCAAACGATACAAGTTAGTATCATTAGTAATGGGATAAATCAGTATCAGTGCCTCCTATATAATCCATTGAAAATAACACAGCATCACTTCTGAAGGATGCCTGTGAAAAATGAATAACCTGAATAATTATGAGGAAACATCAGATAAATGAATTGAAGGACATTCTACAAAATAACTAGCTTGTATTCATCAAGATCATGAAAGACAAGAATAGAGACAGAAATTAAAAAAATGAAAAACAGAATAAAGAAAATTTAAGAGACATGACAACCAAATGTGGTTCATGATCTCAGATCTTCTGTTCCTAACAAAGGGCAATGCTCAGAAAATGAGTGAAATTTGAATAAAGACTAGGGATTAGCTAATAGCTCCTGATTTGTACAATTATCCTTTAGCTATATAAGAGACTGTCTTTGTATTGTAGAAAATACAGTCGAAATATTTAGGGGTAAAGCAACACTGTGGCTGCAATTTACTCAAATGATTCAGGAAAAAATATATAGAATTTTTATATATAAAAATTTACAGAGAGAAAACGGGCTGCATGATGGCTCATGCCGGTAATCCCAGAGCTCTGGGAGGATTGCTTGAGGCCAGGAGTTCAAGACCAGCTTGGGCAACATAGCGAGAACCTGCCTCTAAAAAATATTTCAAAATTGGATGGGCACAGTGTCATGTGCTTGTAGGTCTAAATTGGATGGACACAGTATCGTGTGCTTGTAGGCCTCCTTGTGAGGCTGAGGTGGGAGGATTGATAAAGCAAATGTAAAAGGTTACATTTGGGAAATCTGGGTA